TGTGAAAATTCATTAAAATTTACCCTCCCCTCCACTTTGCCAAACAAGGGGAGAGGCTTCCCTTCCCCCCAACCAAACAAGTTCTCTGGCAGCATACGGCAGGACACCCATAACCATTTGTAATGTTCATATATTCCTGTTGTTCAGCAGCCTCATCTGTTCAGCTCTAATAGCTATAGATTGCATGGACTATAGATATCTCTGCAATGCAATATTCAACACAATTCAAGAATTTATTCAACGTGGGAGATTCAACATTCATTACCATATTTATCACTCCCATATGGATTACTTTCGGTAATTTAATCAAAGAAACTAGCAAATGAGATGTATCCGTACGTTTTGGTATCGTAAGACGACACCTTTGAATTCTAATTTTACAGCCAAATGCTCCAAGTCAATCCATTTTAGTTGGATATGAGTATGACATTTGTGTCTGTCGACATTTTGGTAACAAAATAAATATTATTACCAGCATGTTTCCAATGAGTAACGCGAATAAAATAAACCCGAAGATGGAAATGAAGATAGTGGAGCATATTTCCTCAGTAAATGTACTAGTGATGTTGAGGTTTTGCCCGAGAGAACTGCAGAAAATATATGGTAATAAGTTTATGGCCATTAATATATATTCTTTTTCCTTCATTCGGATATTACAAGCATCAATAATTTACTGTAATAAAATGTGAACCTAGCGTGGGAATAATTAGTGAAGAACAAACAAGACTAAATATATACATATATATGTTCACCAACCTCACGTTGCGCAAACCCTACCAAAAGCAGAAGATCTTTTGAGGGAAGGTCGTTGTTGATTCCATCACACGAGATCTTAGAGCACCGATAAATATTCCAAAATTGAAGACTCTAGGGCTGTCAATCCCATCAGGATTAATGAAGGGACAAGAACTATTGAGAAGGGATATGACAGTTGAATTCCGGTGTCTACAACTCATGTATGTAGTCGCAGAGATTAGCATTCTTCAATTCTTGCCTCCAACATCGAATCTCTGATACCGAAAGTAGGTACCAGACAGAGCCAACCACCTGATGTGTATATGCCAGATTTACTTACCCACCTAGAAATTAATATCTAGTAACATAGATAAGATTTTATTCATGAATCATAAAAATCAGCTTACATGACTTGCAAACATGTAGAGAAGGAGATTATAAGCAATACCAGTCCATGTTTTCTTAGCAAGTATGCCAGAAGTTTTAGTTACTTCCCTGAAGAACGGATAGATCGAAAAATTAATTCTTGGGACATACTAGACTAGTACTATATACTCTAAACATTCGTTTGCTGTTAATGGGTCTAATGAATTCATTATTGGAATGATAACTAAAACAAACACCTGTTTATTTTGTTTTTTTTTTTTTTTTTTTGGTTGAAAAAAAGGAGAAATCAGAAGAGTTGAATCCACGGCAAATTTTTCATTGTGCATCAAAATAATCCCAGCAAATTAATTACTCACATTTAAATGCCTTCATTTGGGGATTGTTGGGGATTATTGCAAGCTCATATCTACATTTTCACCTAATTAATGACTTGAACTTTGGAATTGAAATCACTTCAAATTTATTATAACTTCTTGTATTCTATGCATGGTTAATTGAGATCCAACTATACAACTGTATACATGGCTTTCTTTGTTCGTTATTAAAGTAAATTTTATAACAAGGATATAACTTAGCTAGTAAGAAGATGTGCTAACTTAATCAGAGATCTCTATTAAAGTTTATTATGACATGTTAACAGATAACTGTCTTTAATGGGTGGTGGCAGAGATATTTTAGGTGGGTGCTAGAGACAATAAATGAAAAAGTAATTGAGAAATATACCTGGGGATGTGGAATAATTGAGAGGATGTTAATGATGAATTTTGATGAGAAATATGTTTTTGCTATAGCCAGAGAAAGAAAAGGGGGGGGGTTAAAACCAGTTAGAATCCAAAACATTACGTGGAGAATGATGTAGAAAAGATCAAGGAATGTGCAAAGAACAGAGGTGGTAATGTTCAGCGGCCTATCTAAAGCAAGGCATTTTGGCTTGCCATCAATATAATATAATTTCTGGGATGTAAAAGAATAGTGGATCAAGAGGCAGCAGTGCCATTGCACATCATGTTTGTTTAATTATCTTCTCACACCTTCTCTGTCTGTGACATTTAAATTATCGTCTTCTAATTATAATTCGACAAATGATCAAGGTCAACTCTGAAATATGATTGCAGACACCACTTATGCATAGACCCTGGTTACACCAAGTCAATTAAATAGTAGAAACTGTAAGCATGAGTCGTCTTCTAAGTTTAGGTTTTAACAAGAATCATGCTTCCAATCTACTTTCCTCAGGTGACGCCAAATGCTTGGGTGCTACTTTCTGCATACCCTTCTAAGTTTTTATGCATATGTATGTATGTATGTATGTATGAATAAAAACTTTTTTTAATTTTTAAAATAATTATCGTCTATTATCAGTAAACCATACTCTTTATGAGTCATGAACTCTGAATTTGAATTTAGTGACTATACTTAATTCAGATACTGAGTACCTATACAATTTGAGTCGTTAAAATTCAAATTAATTGTTATAAATATATGCTTGATTTGATATCAATGAAGAAATAAGTTTATCTGAAATGTTGATTTAAAATGATTTAAATGATATAGATACTTAATATTTATATTAAATACATTCACCGAATTCAAATTCATGAAACTCCAGCTTTCAAGTCCATTTCATGTTCATCCACAAGGCTCCTAATTATGGCCATTCGTTTCAGTCACTTTACTAGTCTCAGCCTTTTACCGTTTTAGTCCACATAATTGTTTCAAATTACAATTTAACCTTTGGCAACCCTGATTCACATGAGCAATTCGTAAAAATAAATAAATAAATAAATAAATAAAAATGCAACACTCTTGAAATATTAATTAAAATTAAATCATTCAAATTTAATTTATGCGACAGTGTAGTTAATGTTATTTCTGACCAAGTTTGGATCCCTTGGGGAAGTTTTCCTTAAAAAATGAACGTTTCATTTAGAAATAGAGAAGCAGAATATACAGAGAAAATTGAAGGTTCAGAAAGAGAAGGAATTCATAGAGCATCCTACTCCAATGTCGTTTTCAGCAGATGGAGCAGAGAGGGCGGGAGGATGAGAAGTGTTGGGCGGTGTTTAGTTCTTGTTTATAAATAAGTTAAAACAATTTTATAAATTAAAAATATAAAATAGTAAATTTATAAAATCAACTTATAAGTTTATCCAAATTTATATTTAGTTAGAGTTTATGAGTTAGTTGACATGATTTTATAAGTTACAAATGTAAAAATAATAAAATCAAAGAATCAACTCAAAAGTTTAACAACAATATACATGTTAAATTAGCTAGGTACACAAAACTAACAATCATAATCTTCAAACTTTTGAGTTGACTTTTTAAATTTAACATTTTCACATTTCTAACTTATAAAATTATGTCAATTCACTCATAAATTTAAATTAGATACAAACTCAATTAAATCGGTAAGTTTACCTTTGAGTTTACTGTTTTTATATTTTTAACTTATAAAATCGTGTCAACTAATTCATAAACTCAAGCTAAATATAAATTTAATTAAACTTGTTAAGCTCCTTAATTCTTTTTCTAGTTGGGCAAGTTACATGTATACTGTGAAGAATCTAATTCATAAAAGTTATAGGGTTTGATTCAAATAAAAAAAACTTAAAATGCAAAAACTAATATTAATAAAAATAAAAATAAAAAATACCAAAAATTAGCTTTCTTATTTTAAAATTTATATGTTTTATATATGATAATTTATTAATATAGATGGACTTAATTTTAATAATTTATATTTTAAATACATTTAAATTGAATTATGATCATATTTTAATGATTATTTATTAATAGAAGTAAACTCTTATGAGTTTACAATTCGAGTTTACATTTCAGTTATGAGTTTAATTAAACTTGTGAGTTTAACAATCTTGCTAACAATTACTTATCTTATAAAGATGTTAATAATAATTGAAGTTATATATATAGTATTTATTCTCTTTGTTAAAAAATGTAAGGCCTTTTTAATCAAATCTCACCTTTAATAAAATAATTATTTTTTTAAAATTAATCATATCTTTTCATATCTATCCCTATTTAATAAAGTTTTTCACCCTAAAAAAATATAAAATAACATATTTAATAGGAGCACTTTTGGAAAAGAAAAAAGAAGATAATGATTACATTTTAAAAGATTAAAAATGCTTTATATTTTTTAACATCCAACCTCTTAAAAAATATTTTAAATTTTTTAATGAAGGAAGTATTTATAATTAAAAGATTGAAATAGCCAATGAAAGGTGACTCAAATTTTTTTTAAAAAAGTTGTATAATTGTAAATCTAAGGAATGACAATGTAAATTCACGTAAAGTCAATCTCATGAATTTACATAGGGAAAAATATCATCCTTTGTCTTAGAAGATGGTATATATATGTTATATATAATATCAAATTGAGGGAATCATCTTCGGTGCTCACCAAAGTGATAAGAATATCATGAGATGTAGACTGTCCAAATGATTTAATTTGAATGGTTTAGATCTAATATTTTTAATTTTATATTTAATAAAATAAAAAATTGTAAAAAATTTAATAAATTTGTTTGTTACTAACGTAATAGTCTAAATTTAATTTAGATTGTTCAAATTTAAAAGTACTAATTAGAATATTATCTTTATTTTTAATATTATATTGGTTAAAATAAAAATTTATAAAAATTATGAAAATTTTAATATTAAATCTAAACTATTTAGAATATATTTGGATGGTTAATTTATAAAAATTTTAACATTAAATTAGATCATTCAAATTAAATCTACACAATCATGATCGATGACAAACTATTTATTAAAAACATTATAAAATTTTATTTTAATAAATATAAAATAAAAAAATAAATGAAATTAAAAAACTTCAAATTTGGACAGCACGAAACAAGGACCCCCAAATTGAGAGCTTGAATTCATTGCGCACAAATATGTAATTGGTCGACGGAATTCAACAAGCTACGAACGTGCATCATGCAAACATGGTTAAATTTCTAATTAAGCACATGTGAGGAACACCGGAGAGAGTCAATTGCAAGTTGAGAAATCAGGCTCGTCCGGCTTCGGAGGCAGTCTCAAAAGAAAACTCTGGTTTTGCTCGCCACGTGTTCGCCAGCTTCGCAGCGTGAGATTGCTGACAAACACGGATGCATATATGGCAGCACCCAGACTCAGACTGGTTGCTGATGACCCTTGTTCATCTGCCAAAGCTGCTTCTTCTTCGCGTAATGTTTTCGCAATCTTAACCCTGAGGTGGCGACGCCAAGTTGCTTGTATGAAACACGCAGCCCATGTTCTCCATTGCAGGGAATGGTACCTGCAGAAAAAGTAGCCTACCATAAAGAAGAGAACTTCATGGTTCTGTGCCATTCTGATAAAGCTTACTAAAGGAGATATAGCACATGATCAATGAGATTGCAAGCCTTACCTAAAAGTGTGGTGGACGTGTTTGCTGTGAAGTTGTCGAAATTGGGAAGCGACGAACTTCAAGTCATTAGCGGTGAGAGCAAAGGCTTCAGCTTTTGATATAGATACTACAGTTCTAGTTGAAATGGGAAGAATTGAGGAGTTGGGATCCAAGGCCCATGGAAAAAGCTCCTCTCCGCAGAAGTCACCTGCTTTCATGACGAAGGTGTTGAAGAAACCAGTTGTTCGACCATTGGTTGTCATGGTAGAGAGGCTTCCTCGCAGAATGAAGAGCATTTGATCGATTTGATCTCCTTCGCGAAAAATGTAGCTCTTCTCTGTATAAAGAACTGACCTCAGCCTATCACAAAGTGCATCCAACAACTGCTCCTCCATTTGCTCAAACATGGGCACCTGATCAAGCATATAATTAAAGTATTCAAAACTAAACCAACAAGCCAAGGTTATTGATTAAGGATGATACCCACTTGTTTAAGTAAATCAAAGCAAAGGTGACGCTTTATGTCCCTTCTAAGATCTTTGGGAAGACTGTTGATTAGTGTTTCCTCATCCACACCCTCGTGTTGTTGCCATTTGTAATGTTCATACTGCATGATTCTTTCCCTCAAGCTCACAGGCAACTTACGGTTGGACATCCATTTCTCCATAATCTGTCTTTTCACTCTCATTTCTTCGGCGCTAATGGCCGTAGATTGCATGGATTGTAGATATTTCTGTAACAAGTAATATTCAACACGTGCAACTTGAGATCATTCATCAAATATATGTCTCTGTACGTAGAACACACAACTTGAATTCTGACTGTACTGAATGCTAGCTCCAAGTCATTCATTTTAGCATGCATGGATAACATGTGTGATTTTAACAGAATGGATGACTAATCACCTGTATGTTTCCAATGAGGAACGAGAATAAAACCAACCCGAAGATTGCAATGAAGATAGTGAAGATGATTTCCTCAATAGATGTACTTGTTTTGAGGTTTTGCCCGAGAGAACTACAGAATATAGCACAAAATTATGAATAATTACAAGCATTAATAACTAATAAAATCCAAAAAAACTTGAAAGGGAAAACTATTTCTTTTTTAAAAAAAGATATAATTGATGTTTCAAGGGCTAAGGGGCTTTGATGTCCTCCTACCAATGTCCACTATGATATACTCTGTTTTTTGTTTTTTGGAACTTGAAGTTTGTACCAAAGTCATGATCCAATTGTGCAATTGACCATTCTCTTTATTTCTTTTTAATATTGCATAATTTGTTCGGGGTAGATACTCAATTAGCTAGTGTGTAACATTTTATTTTAAGAAAAGCAATACTCAATTATCTACACACACACACACACACACACATTGTACCACTAGATCATAATTTGGAAAACTTATGCTTAGATTCTACACAACATCCTAAAATATCATAAAATTTATTGACAACTAATTAAATCTAAGATTTCTAATTTTTTAATCTGTAAGCTTTAATTTGGGTCTAAAAGAAGTGACGTCAAAGAAGGGACATTAGAGGGCTAGGTTCCAAGTATATAAAATGTGAACCTTGTATTGGATGCAAAGTGACTAAGACGATTCACCAACCTTAAATTGCGCAAACCCCACCAAAAGCAATAGAAAATCTTTTTAGGAAAATTGGTTGTTGATTCCACCACACGGGATCTTAGAGCATCGACAAATATTCCAAAATTAAACACTCCGAGGTGGTCAATATCATCAGGATAAATGAGGGGGCAAGCATTATTGAGAAGTGATATGACAGTTGAATTATGATGTCCACAGCTCATGTATGAAGCCGCTGATAGATTCGCATTCTTCAATTCTTGGCTCCAGCATTGAATCTCTGATTCTACCGAAAATAGGTGCCAAAAAGCTCCAACCACCTGGCATCAATATTCCAAGCTTGGTCATACTACATACTGTGATTATCTAACATTATGGATAAGGCACGTGGTCTCATCCGTGAGTCATAATAAAAACAGCTTACATGACTTGCTAGCATATAAAGGAGGAGATTGTAAGCAGCACCAGCCCATGCTGTCTTTGTAAGTATGCCAGAAGTTCTAGTCACTTCGCTGAATAACGGATAGATCCGAACAATTCTTGGGACGTACTGGACTACTACTATGTACTTCAAGCACTCTTTTGCTATACATGGAATTGCTGAATTTGTGATCGGGATGATGGCTAAAGCAAAAAGCTGATTAAATTTAAAGGGGAAAAAAAATGTTGGATCAACTGCAAATGTTGTATTATGTGCATCAAAGTAATAATCATGTCACAGAGAAAATTACAGAAGCTTTCATTTATTAATAAGCAGTGATCCTATCCTAAAGCGCGAATTCCAAAGAGATTATTTATGTGAGTGTTAGTGATATATAAGAAAGTAAATGATCGAATGAGAAGAACCTGGGGAAGTGGAATAATTGATAGGATGTCAATGATGAATTTTGATGATAAGTATCTCTTTGCAACAGCCTGAGGATCAACAACGAGCACATCCGAACCTAATATTCGAGAAGAAGGGGCGATAAAACCAGCTCGAAACTGAAGCATTGCGTGGAGAATGATGTAGAAAAGATCAAGGAACGTGCGAAGAGAACAAATGGTAATGGTCAATGGCCTATCCAAAACAAGGCATTTTCGCTTGCCGTCAATCTCTGGGATGTAAAAGAATAGTGGATCAACAGGAAGTGCCATCACACATGTCATTAGTAATATCTTGTTCCAACTCTCAAGTCTCATGTTCATTATCTGATTATCTTCTCACACCTTCTCTATATGGACGCGTCTTCTAATTAAATTCGCTCAAAGAGGGTCTGGCTTTTACGCCATCGCTACAACTTGCCGACTGATAAACTCTAAGGATGAAAATCGGAGATTCCAATTATATGATACGCATCGACCCTGGGTACGCCAAGTAAATTAAATAGCAGAAACTGTAGAGCATTGTCTAATTCCCAAAGTACAATAAGGAGCCTTCAAGATATAGAAAGAGAAGCAAATTATTGAGTAGAAAGCAAGACTCAGGTCAGGCGTCTTACTCCATTGTCGTTTTTCCTTCTCCTTCTCGGGAACGAGGCAGAGGAAAAGCACAGTGCAGAGAGGCCAGAAAGAGCAGAAAATGTCTCAACCAAAGCTCCAGAATGGATTAGCAAAGAGAAAATAGGAGGAGGAGGAGCGTTCTGAGGCTGAGCTTTGAAGCATAGAGCGTTAGAGGGGTGTGCTCTTATCTCAATGATACAACTCAATGGACCAAAAAGCAAAAACAACACTGGGAAAACTCACAGGAAGATTAGTTGAAAAGGAAAAAAAACCAAAAAGCAAAAATAGTCTTCCCTAAACTTTAGATGAAGTGCATGTAGCATCCCTTGCCTTGACAGAACTGTTAAATCACTAACAAATGTTACCACATCTTCTTCTTCTTCTTCTTCTCCTTTTTTAACTTTTTGTGATTTTGACACAAGTTTAGTTAAATGACATGTTCCACATGGCTTAGGGAAGATAGATGAATGTTTCAAAATACCCTTGAATCTTTTCTTCATTTCTGTCCAAAGCCCTCAAACCTTTTTAGATGGAAAAAAAAAAAATAAGGATGCAAAATTATATGTTTTAGCAACTCAATGGTGGGATACTCCTTTGAACCTAACATCTTGGCATCAGATTTTGCCAAGCCTTGAACTCATCGTGACGCCAATGAGTTATTTATCACCGACAGATCCAACAGGGTTTGCGAGGGTTTTTACGGAGTCCCAGGAATGACAAAGAGGGCCCAATGACAGTGTGGAATTGGCCATTGTAGAAAGTACAGGCACTTGAATAGAAATTTTGTAGGTCGAGAATTTGATATATAATTGGGTAGTTTATAGGCTTCTATGTAGACAATAATGTTTGGAAATCGTGGTCTAGAAGGAATATTTGGGTAACATAGAATCAGTTTAATGAAAAATTATGCAAGAGTGCTTGATTTTTATACCTTCATCTTGAAAAGTCCATTGATGTTTTTGCATCCAAGCTGTATGTGATGAAAGAGTTTAATTCGAGATACACTTGATTGATTTTTTAATGCTGTAAACCATATTCCCCATATGTTGATGTTATTATGAAGGTCAAAGAAACTATTGTTGAGAAATTGAAAGGTTTCCATGGCAAGGGAACACGGATATCCGATTAGGTACATTGATAAGTACAAATTGAAGGGCCAATTCGTTTACATTCATAGAATAATATAAATGCTAACAAAGCCATTTCATATGACATATCATCAAGATGTGGCAATATTTATATAATGTGGCAATTAAAATCTGTTAATGGTTTAACAGCTTTTATTGACGAAAGGAGCTTTTATGAATAAAAATGAAAGATAAGGAAGGTTTTCAATCAAGTTTTAAAGGTAAGAGGTCCTATGAAGTTGAGGGAAGTTCTATGGATTTTAGCCAAAAGAAAATAAAAAATTTGATTGAAAATCATCCGAGAACAAATTTTAATTTCACAGTTAATTTTTACTAAAATTATTTTTAAATGTTTAAGAATTTTCTATCAAGTAATAAGAAAATTATCATTAAACTTCCAAAATTTATAGCCTCCAAAAATTAATCATTTAAAAATAGAAGTTTATATTATAATTATTCAATATTAAATTTGTACATGAGTGAGAGAAAAGGCTTTTAAAAAAAAGCCTTTCTAAACTAGTTCTAGAATCAATTTAGACATCAAAAATTAAATTGGTTTAGAAAGTGCCCCATGAAAATAAAAGGATTTTCTAAACCAATTGTGAGATACAGTTAGCGTAGAAAGTCCCTCCTTTCTAAATTGGTTAAGGTCACTATTAATTTAAAGGTTGACTTTCTATATTAATTGTGATATTAACTGGTTTAAAAACTCAAATTTTATAGATTAATAATTAATAAATTCTTAATATTTTTAAAATGATTTCTTTTTTACTCATTTACTATTACATGATATTTACCAACGAAAAATGTTAATTTAAAAAAAATTTACTATAAATAGTATTTGTAATTCCAATTAATAAATGATAAAAACTAAATATTATTAAAATAATAATTTTTATGTTAATAAATATCGCTAAATTACACACAACCCCTCTAAACTTTGAGGGAGTTTGTTATAAAGTTTTAAAGATTAAAAATATTATGTACATATAGTTCAAAGTTTGGAGGACTAATGTATAATTTAACCTAAATGTTTGAGCAGTGTTACCGACACATGAAGGCCCAAATGGAAGGAATTTGAGTTCCTTAACCATTAGCTTTTAGGTTCAATTCCTGAGGTAATGGAAATGAAAAACATGCTTGAAAGAGCTAGCCCTGTTTGGGCTTGACTCAGCTCAAATTCAAATTAGTCAACGTTATTGACTTCAGATATTGAATAAGCAGTCTTCAGGCAACAACAGATATAAGTTACAACTATGAGGGGGTCAATATGCCATCAGAAAGCCATTGTATTGAGGCCATTAGGTTCTAAGCATTATTAATTATAACAGTGGGACGTGTACTTGGAAGTTGGAACTGAGGATTTTTATAACAAAGAAATTATTTTATTTCTCATATTGAACTTGAAGATGAAGCCTTCAGTGATTGGTGTTGGATACCTTAGAGGTGGAAATGAATTTACTTTTTTCAAAAGTTTCATCCAACTTTGCGTCGTAACATTTATTTGTGACTTGAAAGGCAAAATGACTCGATCAAGGCCGTACCCGCGTAGAAGCCGATCGAATAACAAAGTCCCCATGCATATTAATTAAAGAAGATTCATCTTACAGTTTAATCAATAATGGAGACGAATATTTTTATTCAAAAAAAAATGGAGATGAATAGAATGTGATGTAGTGAACGCACAGTAAAACCTAAGGAAAAATACTAAATATTCCCTTCCTCCTATATATAAAATATTTTTAACTAAATTATACAAATCAATAAAAATTAGTTATTTAATTAAAGGTACAACAACATTTCAATTTTATCCTTAATTGTTGTAAATAAAAAATAAATTTCTTTTTTTAAAGTAAATTAACGAGAGTACTTATCTTTTTCTCTTTTTAATTTAATAAAGGTATAATGGTCCATTCAATAAAAAATATGTTGACAACTTTTTATATTTAAAAATAAAAAAAATTCTAGAAGACTTCTTATATATAAAGACGAAAGAGTATGTTAAAATATTAGGAGTAATTAGTATTAATCACTTAGTTAGTTGATATCCTTAAATCTATATAAAAGGATCATATTATTGTGTTGAGTAAGGGAATTTAATCCCACATTTAAAGAGGTTTGAGAATCACCCAGGTGGATAGACTGGTGTGTTAAATCCTTTAAGTGAATGATCAATTTTATTGTCATACCGTATCATTCCATTAATGGATATTCAGTTTTCTCTTTCATCATTTTCTCAACAAAATATAATACAGAGAGAAATAAATTCCTTGTCAATGACGAATTTTGATAAGAAGCACGTTTTTGCAATAGCCAGAGAAGAAGGGGGGATAAAAACCAGTTAGAATCTGAAGTATTACGCGGAGAATGATGTAGAAGAGATCAAGGAATGTGCGAAGAACAGAGGTGGTAATGTTCAGTGGCCTATCCAAAACAAGGCATTTTCGCTTGCCGTCAATATAATCTCCGGGATGTAAAAGAATAATGGATCAAGAGACAGCGCCATTACAAATCATGCTTATTTAATTATCTTCTCGCACCTTCTCTATCTGTGACATTTAAATCATCGTCTTCTAATTATAATTTGTCGACTGATCAAGATCACCTCCGACATATGATTGCAGACTCCAATTATGCATCGATCCTGGTTACACGAAGTCAACTAAAAAGCAGAAACTGTAAGGATGAGTCGTCTTCTAAGTTTAGGTTTCAACAAAAATCATCCTTCCAATCCACTTTCTCAGGTGACGCCTAATACTTGGGTGCTGTCTTCTGCATATCCACTATATACATGCATAAAAAAATAATTTAATTTTTAAAAAATAATTATCGTCTATTATTAGTCCTTAAATAAAATAGGTCAAAGTATACTTTTAATCTTACAATTTTATATAAAATTTTAATTTATTTTTTTACTTTTGTAAAGTATCTTTTTAATCATTTAACCCTATTATTTTTAGTTTTAAATAATTATTTTTTGTCAATTATTGTGATTTAAAAAAAAATTAAACTTAATATATTAATATTTAAAAATATTGTCAATATTTGAAAGTTTAATGTAAAAATTTGTTGAAAGAAAACTAATAGTATTGACTCAAAAGATAATTTATAAAGTTAAAATATTAAAATAAAATATTTTATAAAGTTAAACAATTAAATATATATTTTAAAATAAATAAGCCATTTATATCCTATAGCAAACCATACCTTATAGCAAACCATACTGTTCATGAGTCATGAAATCTAGTTTTTAAGCCCATTTCATGTTCATGCACAACGCTCCTAATTATGGCCATATAAGTTTCAGTCGCCTTACCAGTCTCAGGCCGTTTGAGTCCACATGATTGTTTCAAATTACAACTTAACCTTTGGCACCCCTGATTCACATGAGCAATTCGTTAAAAAAAAAAAAAAGCAACACTCTCGAAATATTAATTAAAATTAAATCATTGAAATTTAATTTATGTGACAGTGTAGTTAATGTTATTTCCGACCAAGTTTGGATCCATTCGGGGAATTTTCCTTAAAAAAATGAACGATTCATGTAGAAATGGAGGAGCAGAATATGCAGAGAAAATTGAAGGTTTAGAAAGAGAAGGAATTTGGAGAGCATCTTACTCCAATGTCGTCTTTCCTTCCCTTTCTGGGGAACCATTCAGAGGAAAAGCAGAGAGGATAGAAGGATGGGAAGCGTTGAGGGGTGTCCTGAGCCTGAGCCTTGAAGCAAATAGGATTCTTGAGTTCATGCATATTGATAGAGTTGTCAGTTAAGATCAGTTCAGTTTTTAAAGTGTCAGAATCTAAACAAGTTAGCTTTATAAAACCTAATTTTACATTAAGGTTTTATTTTTGCCGACTCAATTGTTACTCTCAAGGGGCCTCAAATCTATATACATTTTTTTTATTTTTCAATTTAAAATTTTAAAAAACATTTAAAATCATAAAAAAATTATTATACATAATATTAAATCTAACATAATAAATTTAAAATAATACATACAATAATAAATTTAAGTTTGATCAAAAGTAGCAACATCATAAAATCGACATTGATAATAATTAAACTTTATCAACATCATCAACTAAATTTTAATGATTTTCATTATCATAAATATAATTTGATCTTTTTTCTTGTGAAGCTTCATCAATTATTACACATAATATTTAGTTTTGAAGTGTTTATTTTTTATATTAAATTTAAAAAAATAAAAGGGTTTCAAAAGGCTAGCCCTTTTATTTTTGAGTTTAAAAAGACTAGCTCCTTTAAACTCAATTTACCATTTTATAGCTCAAATAAGAGGCTCGGCCTTAGATTTTTTCAAGCTTAGACGAGCTCGACCCTAATTGATAACTCTGCATATGAGAAGGAAAAATGAAGTTTTTAAGTTTTCTTTTTATTATTGACTTGTAACAAAATTAATTAACAAATACTTCCTCCGTTAAAAAAATATAAAATATTTTTAATTAAATCTCATCTCTAATAGAATAGTTACATATTTTCAAACTAACCTTATCTTTTTTATATTTACTCTTATTAAACACCTTATATAAATATAAAGTCACTATCAATAGAGGCACTTTTAAAAAAAAATAATTATACCTCAAAAGATTAAAAATATCTTAAATTTTTTAATATTCAACTCCTTAAAAAATACCTTACATTTTTTAATAAAAGAAATATGCTCTTACCCTCTCAATAATATAGCTCAATTGTGTAGAAAATTATTATTAAACTTCCAAAATTTATAGCCATCAAGATTAATTATTCAAAATCCATTTAAAAATGAAAGTTTATAACAATATAATTATTCAGTATTTGATTTTAATTAAACATCCATTATTATTGATTTATGAGGAGATTATAATTAATATTTAAAAAATTATAGCTTAAAGGTCAAAAAAAAAATACAGTTCTAAAAACTGGTTCCTAAAAATTGAAAAAACTCAAATGGAAATTTCTTGAGAAAATAAATTTAGTATTAAAGTTATTTTTAATTAGAATTAATATTATACTATTTTCAAATCGTGATGTTAAATTAAGAACTAAATAAATTTTTAATATTTTTGAAATAATTTATTTTTAAATTATTTGCTATGCTCTAATATTTTGCAACAAAAATTGTAAATTTAAAAATAAATAATTTGAAATAATATTTGTATGTCCAATTAATAAATGGTAAAAACTAAATCATATTAAAATAATAATTTTTATGTCAATAAACACCGCTAGTAATAATTATAAATTTAAACATTCTTCAGGCAAAAACAGACAACCATCACCATGTGGGGCTCAATGCCATCAGAAAGCCGTTGACAAGATGTTGTAACAGGCGGGATCTATCCTTAATTCCCTGAACTTGATGTAATCTTTCTATTTTAATATTTTTATGCATAAATTGTTCTTTTTTGGCCAAAAAGCAAAATAGTCATAACCAAAGAAATGAACTGTGCTTCATCTCCGAAGAAAAAAAAATCAAATCAATCAATTTTCATCGAAGAACGAGTGCTCCACTTCAATTCAGTTCATTTCATCACTATATCAGGTGAAGTTCTGGAGTACAAACCCACCAACCTTGGCACTGACAATGGTCTAAATCCTACCAATATGCATCCAAACTCATCAATTCCATCCTCAACAAACCACCCCCCCCCCCCAACCCTTCCAAACAATAGTTTTCCCCAATGAATACAGAAAAATACAGCTACCCAGTAACAAAGAAATTTTCCATCTAGAGGATGATAATGAAGGGTAGTTTGCCTACACTAAGGTGATATTCAATAAACTGAATGACATTTATTCCCCCAATTCAACTAATCTATCAATTTTCATGCCAAACACATGTTGTCTAACCTGCATCTACGACTTCTGCTCGTCTGAGTGAGAGCACTGCGGCTCAGAACTAACAAGAAAGTCATCCACTGAAATCAAAACAAAGCCGCCATTGTTGCAATTTACAATCAAAGCTTGGACCAAAGCCAGAGGGAGTAAGGAGTAAGTTTTCACGTAGATTCAAGCATTATATACAAATGTATATTTCCTTTCCAGAAAGTATATGTTTGTCATTATCAATTTTTCACTTCATTATTGATTATCTGGCTTTAAATATTTGATTTCTTTCCCAAATTTCCTCGTTGAGATAGTCATTCTATATGGTTTTAGGTCCTCTGTCAATGTGTGCGATTATAGAAAGTTCAATTTCTTTCTAATGCATTCAATCATCTAGTTCTTCACATGTCATGTGAATTTAGTATGCCCATTATTTTTCACCAAAATAATTATAGAGTCAGGACATGTAAAAAGGGAAAGGAATTCAGACACACACAAAAACACACATGCACTTACCATTATTTATATCTTGATCTGGAGATTCAAGCAACATATCAGAATCAGACGGCAAAAATGGTGAACCAGGATAGTTACCAAGGGCCCCCAAATCTGCAAAGAATTCAAGATAATTGATGAAGAAAACAGAAGGAAGTCCAATTTGTCCAAATTAAGTACTGTTGTACACATAATGACAGAGATTTGTGCTTCTATTTGAAAGATATTACTGCATCTTTGCTAAGTTATAACTTGTTTCCAACAGCTTCACCTTTGCACAAATATCTAAAGTACTGTTGGTCTTTCAAGGTATGATAGAACAACACAAGTTGTACATTTGAAACATTTCATTCCCAGACGAGCTCTGTGATTAAGTTGAACTAAATTAAAAATATAAAAATGAATTGCGTAAAGTCAAATAACTTAATACCTCCCAAGTTAGACAGATCAGCAGATAGATCAGATAGGCTAAAATTCCACGGAATTTGCTCAAGCGATCTGGAAATTGCTGTGTTTCCTTCTGCTGCAAGTTGCAGTCCTGCTGAACTGGCTACCTCAGATGCAAAGGCGGTATCCAGAGCTGATGCGTCTGTGTTTATTCCGGATAAATCTGCTGCAGTAAATGGGAAACGACCACTGGATGCTACTGATGTAGGACTCACTGCCATTTCTGACAATGACGACATTGAGTTAATTGATGGAATAACAGGAGCCATATCAGGAGCACTGTGGTCCATCACCATGCTTCAACAATGACAAAAGCAGCTGCCATTAGCAGAATTTCTATCGAGCAAAATACTTGAACAGAGCAAAACAAAGAAGTAATCAAGCATTCCATTTTTCACTATTAGTATTTACGGGCATGGTAACCAGGCTAATAAATAGTAATAGCTCATTGATCAAAGCAATTGTAACTTTTAAACAATGCAAAACCCATTTACACATTCCAGACGGAAATACTCATAAAAAAAGTTATCCTAAATCATCTGGAGAACAACCAAAATGCCAAAATAACAGAGCCGTTATAGTGCTCTTGTTCAATAAATTGAAAATGGAAAAAAATAGTATGTTGTTGGATAGGTTCTCACTCATTCCCAGAATTCATCTGAATGGAATTAAAATTGCTTGGAGCAGGGACTCCATTAACCACATGACAACTTGATATTCCAGAGCCCATGGAGTCAAGATGTGGTTGACCTGTTGCCATATTGGGAGGCTGTAACACTGGGTATCCCATAGGCAGATTGTTGACTGCACTGCACACAAGTGGTATTATAGAATAATGGGGGTATAAGGGAAAATGTAGCAGAAGAATTGAACGTAACACATAAGAATTATCTAGTTTATCTTACTTTACAGCATACATGATATTCACATATTCAGCAACCAAACTAGGAAGTCTTTGCAAAAGACTCAAAAAGACTTTTAGGTCCAGGAAGTTTCCCAAGCATTTATTTGGTAACATAAATCCTCATGAATCCACCAACGTCAATATCCAATTCCAACCATGATCTAAAAGCTCGAATTTGGTTTGTAAAGGTCAGTGACAGTCAAATAGTCAATACACTACAAGTGTTTCTGATTAGTAACTAGTACCCATTCCCCTGAAATTCATGTGTTAGCTTCCTTATTGAATTTATCCAAATACAATTTACATCCAAAGAAGATAACAGCATACATCTATGTAACACAAACACTTCAAAATCATAAACTCGTATAACACTTCACAGTTTCTCATGTGGTTGTGTCCATATCAGCACCATCTCTCATGTTCATCAATATCTGCATTTTCCGGGTAGATATCAATATAAACAACAGATGTAACTGTTGGACACTCATTGATATTTTCATTAAACTGGCTATGGCGTTTGTCTATATCATACATTTCATCAAGATTCTGAACTTGCAGTGAAAGTAGTTAAAAACATTTGCTTGTTGATAAATTATGCAATAATTTTAACAATATTGAGATCCTGAAAGTTCAGAGAAGGCAATTCAAATCATTTTTTTTTCTTTTCTTCTTCCTTTTTTTTTTTGGATAAATTTTGCGGTGGAATGAATGTTAACATCATAAATAGATTTTGCATTCTTGAAAATCAATGAGGACAAAATGTGATTGGTTGATGTTTTGTAGAAGCGCAAGTAAATCACTAAATTCATTGGAAATGTGTGACTTGTAAATAGAAAAGACCAACAAACATATATTGCCCATCCCCAGGAATATTAAGATGATTATTATGCATAAAAAATTTGAGTGCAATTTTTGAAAGATGTAAGATAAAATAGCGAGCTTAAATATCCAAAGAATTTAATGGAGTATAGAAGAAAGATTAATCATTTTCATTTCATAGACAAGAAAGTAAACTGGCAACTAAAGAAGCACATATACCCATTGGGTTTTGGACCAATGAGCTCACCCTTCATTTTACTTAAAGGGAAAAATGTGCAACTAACATTATCTTGAGATATCATCTACCTAGTCTACCAAATTGCTTTCTTAATATAATATCGTTAAGACTGATCAACATGCAGGAACGCATATACATTGATAAGAAATCTAGTTGGGTAGGATAAACTTCTATAAACCCTACATTTTTGCCCAGTATTTGTTCTTTCCCATTCTTAAAAGGAAATCACCAGTCAATTGTGACTAGCCATGAGAAATATGACCAGATTCAAGTTGTTGGCTACGATGTTAATGTTGCAGTTAGAATAATAATCACATATGAAATAAAATATAAAAAAGAAAATGTAAGTGCCATTCATCACAATCACTGTTTAGTTTACAATATGCATAATGGAATAATTCCGTTAATCTGAGGCAAGATTTACCAGGCATTGGATGAATTCCATTCTGAATCGGAGCCAATGGAACCTTTGGAGCAATGGAATGCTTCATCAAATGGTACTGATTCTCAAGCAAGTGATTGAAGAGGAGTATTTGCTTTTTCAATTTTAATCTTGTGTAATAGGCCCTAAAGAAATCAGCATTCTCTTCCTCCAACTTCTGCCACACTGAATTAACTTAAAGAATGAGTCCAAGCACAATTGGAGATGTAGATACTGATATTTATAATTTTGGACTCAGGGAAGGAAAGGAAAATAATAATAGCATCCAAGAACATATTTTTCAAGCACAATTTGTCTGTCAAAGTAGATTGATTTCCATATCATTGACACATAAATGACAGTGTAACTCATAAAAGGAAAAAAGAAAAGCCATTAATTGGATGATAAGTTTCAATAAGAAATATAATATAAATATGACTATCAACTAGAATTGCAACATTTAATAGCATGACAGATACTTCAAGGTGCTTACCCAGAGTTGTAAATCCAGGATCTATCTTTGCCCGAGTCAAAAGTGTTTTAACCACTTCATCTTTATTCATATATAATTGTAGACACCTTTCTATTAAATTCTGGACCTACAAAAGTAGTTCAAACAACTAATCAACTAGAAACAGAAACAGAACAGTTAAAGATAGCATCTGTAAACTATCCCTGTAGAAATGAACAACAGGAAAAGAAAGAAACAAAGAAAGCATGAGGAAATCCTCAGAATAAAAGAAATCTAGTCAAATGTCTATAAACAGTGGATTGTCTTACAAGCTCAATATCCTGCCGTGAAACCTTTTTGCTGTCATTGCCTGAAGCAGATACTGAACCACAGTCTGTAATGGGGGCATCAGTTGTATGATTGTTTGGCTGTTCACTTTCTGACTCATGAGACGCTTGAGTTGAGGGTTCTTCTTTTGGGCTCTGTAATTCCATAAAACTTCCATTTCATGTTGATGTTTCACATCCAATATTCAGATAATCTAAGAAGAGATGTTTTGATTGACTAAAGAAAATAGTTTCTTTACAAAAAAATTTGACCAAAGGTCAAACGCAGTAGACCCAACAATTTGATGAGATATGTATGACAACCATTCTAAATAAGGAAAGAATACATAGTAATAGCACAAAAGGAGCATGACGAGAGAACCTGTGAGTTCTTCATTTCAACTGGAAGAAGGCTGGCCACATGTCTTTGGAAGGAATTTAAATCATTCACCAACTGCCACACTTTGAAGACAAAACATTTGCAGATGTCTACAACACTTCAAATTGCAGTAGTTTTTATCTGGAACAAGAAGAATAATGATTGAATTCCAAGATAAATTGCTAAGAGGAACCTATCATCGTTGAAACCAACACACACTACTGATGGAAATTCAAACCCATCCTAAAAGTGTCCTTAAAAATTATTCTCAATACAATATATAGAATATCCACTAAATTACGGTGATGTTAATATGGTGAGATATATATTAAACAGTATTATCTAGTTGTAAAGAAAAAACTACTTAACAAAAACAGCGTCAAGAAAACAATCAGAAAGGTTTTAGCACGATTGATGACAACTACATTATTATTTCGCTAGTACTAAAGTAACATTGACATAAACAAAATAGTGCAGTTAGCTTGAGGCAACAAGACACCTCATTCGAGTTTGCTTCATCTAAGTCGAATATGTAAGCTCATTATTCAATATGCAAGAATAAGTGGATCCTCAACCACAATATTTTAGATACTCTAAAGATATCCTTGTCAAACAAAAAATTGTCTACTCTAGTTCTCCATAAGACTAGGCATTACAACTATCCACCACATGAACATCCGAATCATGTAACACTATCATAGCAGCCAGCAATATCCTGCTGAACCACATCGAAGTAGATAAATGAACCAGATCTCAGCTGTTACCAGGTCCTTAGCCTCAGATGCTTTCATTAAAAACACTTCTCTTGTACTCAAAAGTGAAACTTAAAACTAATAGTAAATAAATTAAATGCCTTTACCAGAACCCAAAAATCCGCGAAGCCAAAGGGGGAAATGAAGATCCAGCAAAAGAGTACCTAACACTAGTTCCTGAATCTCCAGCAGACACGAGGACGAGGACAAAATCACCCTGTATCTCGATGACTTCAGAAACCCAACACCAAGTTTGAGGTTTTTAGCCGAGAAGCTTGAAGCTATGAAAGTTAAACTGGTAAATAGGACTAGAGATGAAACTTCAAACGCTGGCGCTCCCCGAATTGATGGGCACAGGTAGCGTAGGAAAAAGTGCTCCACGGAACTGAATAGCGGCGAAAAGAGATATTTTCAAAGGGGTGGGAAATAATATTTACAAATTACGCGAGATATAAATGTAACAATGGGGTTCCTGAAATTAGTTACGGCCGGTGAACGTTCTTCAAAGCAAAAGTGAGGGAGGCAGAGAAACTCCGACAAGTAAAAGACGTGGAGGATCCAGCTTTTCACAGGGTCGGCTCAACCCGGGTTTCAGACCAGGTTGAATGTGGATTTTATAATTATTATGGAAAAAACTATTATTTCAATTTTTATTGTATTTAAAATTTTAAACTAATTTATTGATTACTGTTAATGTAATTTTTTTGAGACTAGCATGTGCCATGTATGGGCTAATTCGGCCCATTCAACTACCATGTCTCGGTTTTGTTTTTGGGTACAAGTGCCTTGTCTTTTGAAACCCTAGGGTGTTATTGGGGCTTAGGCCCAGCATGAAGCTATGAAAGGCCCGACTTTGACATGTGAATACAAAATTGCCTGTATAATACAAAATTGTCTGTCAGTTCCAGTATCATATTGGCTTGAATATAGGATTGCAATTCAGTGCTTCAATGGAATCCAATTACTCTGAAAGAATTGAACAATGAGCTGTATGAGATGAAAATCTCATGTATGGTTATATAAAATGATAGTAAGCGTGACTTATCTATTAATTTTTTTTACTATCACCGCCCCCCCCCCCCCCCCCCCAAAAATCAAACTCTAGCTTACATAAAGCTGCCACACCCCTCCAAAAATATTATCTCGACAAAATGGGCAGAATGGCTATTCACAGTTTTCAGTATCTTATTGATGACTTCTCTAACATTGCCAGGCATGGGTGATTTTGTTGCAAAATTTGATCTCAACGAAAGAAAATGACTCATTAAAAAAAGAGATTATTGTTCTTACCAATTTTTCTTATTATGACTTTTCAAAATGTAATGACTAAAACAGTTATTGATAGTAATGATTTACTTAAAAGAGCTGCAGAGCCCAATACCATCAACAAAGCACATGCTTGTAAAATGAAGCTAACCATTAATTTGACATGTCGTTGGGCTTATAATTTAACTTGAGTCAGCTAAGTACATCACAAGAAAATACACCAAGGTTGTTTGGATAGTTGAAATTTGAATTTAAATTTTAGATTTCAAATCTTGAATTTTAAATCTGAAATCTAGAATTCATATATTCAAAATCTTTATTTAAGTAGTTTAAAAAATTTTAAATAAAGAAAAGAAATGAGTTGAGATTTAAAACAAAAATAAAAAAATTAAAAGTGATAAGCTTTTATATATAATGAATATATATATATCAATAAAAAGATACGAAAAAGGATGAGATATTTAAAGTAACTGAAATTTTAAACAATTAAGGATTAAAAAAATTTAAAATTACAAAAGAAATTTAACGAGAGATGGTAAATCCATAAATTTTTATATACTCAAATGAGAGATTTGATCTAAATTCAAAGTCAAATCCACATTGATCCAAACACACCACAAAGGTAACCTTTGAATTAATGGTTTTAAATTTGCATTTAAAATTCTTTGTGTGAGTAATTTAAAAATTTCAAGTGAAAAAAATAGATGAATTGAAAGTCAAAATAAAAAAGAGAAATTGAAAGGACAAGTAAATTTTTATTTTTTAATCAACAAAAAATGAGAAAAGATACAAAAGTTATAAAGATATAAATGATGGAAATATAAGAGAAACAGATATTTGAGTTACTAAGATTTTAAATTACAAAAGTGTCAAGGGAATTTAAAATTATAGAGAAATTATAAGTTGGCTAAATCCAAATATATAAATTTTTAAGTGCCCAAATAAAATTTTTTCTTAAATTCAAATCCAAACCTAGATATAATTGATAGGTATCCAAACACACCATAAATTATATTCAACTTTTAAAATTTCGTCACTTTGATTTGGATCCTCTGATTCAGTGTTCTTAAATAAAACCATAACTATATTTTTACACTCCTTAACTCACTCAAGGAGACAAGGCCCATGCTTGTTATAGGCTTATGGCCTCTACAGCCTTTTGTAGGTTGATATGATTTAATTGTCTATCTACACAGTTTTGTTGTGGTCTTCTATTAATATATATATATATATATATTAATAACTATTTCATGGTTTTTTAATAATAATAATAATAATAATAATAATAATAATAATTAAAATAAATAATAAATAAGATAAAGATATAGTTGAAAAAATATTATAATTTTTATCCAAATGCTCTATATTTTGACTGAACAATGCTTTTAAAAAGTGTCACATATTATGCATTAGATAGAATATGACTGCCAGAGAAAATGTAGCAATATAAAACATTTTGATAAAAATAAAATTTCATTAATGATGATTATTTTAATATTATATTTTATTATTTTACTCCTTAATTAGGTTTATTCTAGGTCTCCTTTATTAATGATGAATATTTTTAAAAATTTGTAGGAAAATTAGAATTGTAACACAGGCAAAAATAACTTAAGATTGAATTCATGACACCTCCATATCCTACGTAAAAAGTTCGAGAGAAAGATGACTATCATCTCTTCATTTTATGTCTTTTTAAAAATTTTAAATTATATTTATTGAAACTTTTTCTATTATATTTTTATTTACTTCAACAAATTTAAAATATTGAATTTTAGAGAAAATTTGGTAATATAGCCAACACTTATATATTTTAATGTAAATGTTAAGTAAAACATATGCTTTGAAAAGGAATTTATAATTAAAGCACAAGTATAGTTTTTGAAAGCTGCGACTCGGATTTGAACACCTCACTCTGTTTAGAATCATCTGATGACGTCTAGGAGAAGATGCTATTGGTAATTATAAATTAGAAGCTTAATTTATTCATTCGACATTTGAAAGCTCTGACTTAATTATTTGGATTAAATGTACAGTAGTATACTGGAAGCTCATGATACTGGTTAACAAATTAAATCGGGGATAACGTGCGGCGAGATCATTGAATGCTGCTTTTAGAGCCCTAAATATTATACTAAAATTGCAAAAGGGATTTTCTAATAAAGTAATGCATGCGTGCACGGGCCATTTGGAAGGGAGTCAATTATGGGCACCCTACTGAAATTTGTCTTCTTGTTATCCTTTCCCTGCCTCTAAATATAAGTCATAATATTAAAAAGCATATAAATAAAGAAGATACCAAAATCTATGTATTAATGTAAAAATTAGTTTTCCTTTTTATTTAATATCATGGAAAAGAATACATGTATTTAATAAATAAAAACTTAGATCGGATTGACCGATTTAACTGGTAACTTGGTGAGTCGGTTAGTTGACTAGTCTGATTTATAATCTAACTCTGGGTAGTGTTAACTTGAAGGAAATCGATTAACTTGGAAGTGATCAACCTGGTTGTGACTCGATCAACCCAATCCATTTATTTTAAAAAATTATTTAATCATTTAATTTTTATTGAAATTTTACTAAGTTTGCTGAATTTTTATTGGGATTGTGTTCACAAGTATAACATTTTCCTCTCTTTATTAAATTTCTTTGGATTATTTGAGCAGAACTAATTATTTTTAGGGAATATGACAAGTAAGGACCTTGTACAAACATTAATATCAAATCAGAAACTGTAGTATTGAAATATGGTAATAGGAGTTTAAAAATTTAAGAACATCAGTGTTGAAAAATCCTAATATAACATTAATATTTTTACAAGATCTTTATTTGTCATTCCTTCTTATTTTTATTTAAATATTCATATTTTCATATACAAACATGAATATTTTTATGTATATAAATTATATTATATTATTTTAATTAAGAATGGTTTGACTTTAGGTTGACTCTTGGTTGAATCACTAATCCTTGATACATTGTCTTTATCAATTAAATGACTAGTCTGTTTTTTAGTATCTATCATGTATTTATAGAAATTTAAGGATAGATAAGAAGTTTTATATTTTCCATAGGAATTTTTTTTATAAATATAAGAAATAAGTCTCACTGACAATAGAAAATATCTTCCTTGAGATATTGAGAACAATAAGTAGATATCTCTAAATTAAATTACTAGATACATATGAGGTATTTTTAAAAACAAGTATTAATTATACTTAGAAAATAGAAATTTCCATTATAATTTGTATTTTTTTTGGCCAAATATTGGAATTTGTATTTAAGAACAAGAAAGGTGAAAATCAGATCTTATATTTAGGAACAGATGAAATTCTATTTTTTGTTGTATAGTTTTACTGAATTTTACTTTTAGTCCATATCATTTTTTTCAGTGTTTTCAATTTTCATTGGAAATAAAAACACTAAAAAAAATGAAAACTATCTGTATTTGAAAAATAAAAGTCACCTAATCTTTCTAAAATTATAGGGACTAAAAACACAGTAAAAAAATTATTAAAACTAAAAATAAAACCTGATAAAACTATAGAAGCCAACAATTGTGTTTTCTCATAAATAAATTAAAATTTAAAATTATCCCCTTTTTTAAATTAAATTTTTTTCATATTTGCATTATTTTCTCTGCAGTTAATGAGTTTAAATAAAATTAATATTGAGAAAACGTGATTAAGTGGAGGGAGTATACACACACGCATTAATTATATATATATATATATATATATTAAAAGTTGGGAAGCACAATCACTTTAGCATTTTGGCTTTTGTAAACATATTGAGTTCCTAATCTCTGCCACATTTAAAATTTACACTTTTGAGCACTCACACAATAGCGTGCATGCAATTGCTCCAACCACTGCTTAATTTTCTTTATCAACTTTGTGGAGGCAATATGAAATGCCACCCCAAATCACCACACCATCAAAAACTTTATGCCACTTTAATAAGATATCATATTCAAATTTTAACTTCCAGGTCGTATAAAATCGTATTGAAAGTGTTAACTTTTGTTAGAATCTAACAATATCCAAGTATTTATTTGTCAATATAGCTGGTATCAAATAAGTATGTGATATATAGTTGTTACGAAATAATATTATAAGTTAAACCAAGTCAGTAAAGTTTCACAAAAAAATAAGTTGAGCGTGATATTGACCAGATAAAAAAATAACACGCGCGATTAGCAAAATAATAATAATAATAATAACACGCGTGGGCTTGAAAAAATTCAGCAGGGCCAATTATTGAGAAAGCATTTTAATATTTTTAACTATAATCATTTTTTG